AAAATATAACACTTTAGTGAAAAACCGAGCTAAGTCAAATCAATACTAACAAAAAATATTCTCTTTCTGCGGTATCCATAGGATGGAATCACTTAGAATCTAAGATTTTCCCCTTTATTTTTGAAAAGGAAACATTCTCTCGAATTTGTAATTTTTTCTTCTGTCCTACAAATTTTATATATTAGCATTTAATTTTCATGTTTTATATGCAAAACATTTGTGTCGATTTAAAATATTAAGGGCTCCGAGCACAAATATCATCTAAATATTTTTAAATATATACAGTCCGCTATAGTGAACCTTTCCCATTTCATCGTTATCAAAAATCTAGACTTCCTGCTATCGAATTCTTAGAGCATTACGACAAAGGTTTCAAAATTGTATAAAGAAACGGGGTTGCAAAAGACAATGGAATGGTTATCACATTTGGCGACGCTTCATCACAATCTCTTTTTCTTCGCCTGGGTTGGAAGCTTTTAGGTTTCTACGTGCTTATTAGTATTTTAATTTTTAAGTATCACGCGATGATATATTAAAAATAAAAATAAAATAGCATTGTAATTTAGAGTATAAATTGATGAATTGTGATAAATTGATAATAAAAAATATAATAAATCAGTTTAATTACAATTCGCGATCGCAACGCTCGAGTACGCCGTCTAGCGGGAGCCTGTAAATATCAGACATTAATTTATCACGTTTTCATTTAGTTCCATCCAAGTCATTGACTGAATCAGACGCCATTTTTTAGCAGCAAATAAGAAACAAAATTTCCCTAAGGAAAAGGCCGAAGAACTTGAAAAAAATCTCCAGAATATTAGTAAATCTTTCAGGAACAGAACACGCCAAACATTTGAAGAAAAATTCCTCAATAATTTTTAATTTCTATTATCAACAAACTTGCAACTGATGACTTCCGATTTCGGATACTGTTACAGATGTGTGTATTAAGGTAAAATGCATTTCTTCTGTCTTCAATTCATTACGAATTAAAGTGAAGTCAACATTGCTTTCGTCATTCCAGTGAATAAATATGAATTCAGAACATACAGAATTGTAATAGTTATAGCATATTCTTCTTCGTTATAGAATAGTATATATTTCTGTATCCATATAATTCGGAAAACAACAATAAAAAATTATCCAAGTTACTTGAAATAGTGCCATTTGTGCTGATTCTTAATTAATTTTAATCGTTTTCTTGGTAAGTATTTTTTAGTTTTGAAAGAATAAGTTCAACTAGAATTCAGCTATTCTGTTTTTAGCTACATATTCAAATTCATATCAATTATAAAATTTTGCTGTGTAGTATGTTATCTAAAAGTAATGAAGGTATAAACTATGTATCTATTATTTGAGAATAAAGTTTTCAAACAAGGAACTTATCATTTTGGAATTCTCCGGGAATCATAAATCAGGTAAGTGCAATGATTTTTACAATAAAAAATTTGCTTGTAAATATTTTTTTTTCATTTGATGATGGTTCTCTACAGAATGGTTTTTTACGTCTGATTAAGAACTATAAGAATAATAAAAAAAGAAACAATATGAAAGTTTTTATTTCAATGTTAAGAATTCTTAAAATCGTTTTTTTTATCCTAAGAATTCTTTATTTTCCGTTTTTTAGTTTATAATTTTTTGATAAAAATTGTTCTCAAAATACTTTTTATGAAAAATTAAATGGTATAACATTATGTGTTTATGTATACTTCTTGTATATTCCAATGTTTGAAGTAATATGATTCAGAAAAGTATGGAATAAAAATTCGGTACTTACGTATTAACGCCACCGCCGCTACAGATTTGGCGGTTTTTAAGTGCCGCCAATCTACACTTAAAATTTTTGCGACAATTCATAAAATAAAACACTTTATTTAAAATCAAAATAGTCAATCGGATTTCGGTGGAAAATGAGCCGATATAGAGTTTAGCATAGATTCAAAACAATCATATCGCCATATGAACTCTGATAAATAAGATTCCAAATGAAATAACATTTCCAAAACGTACGTTTACCAAGATAAAGTTTTATGTTGTGGGAATTGGTACATTTTCGTTTTTTCGGTAAAATATTTCCCTCCTGAAAAAATAAAATTGCATCTTGTTTTGTTTTTGGCAAATCCCAAAGACGAATTTTCGTAGCACTAAAAATGGCGACAAAAAAGAATTGTTTTTTTTTTTTTGTTTCGTCAGCATTCTTTATTTTACGTTTCTTAGTTTCTAAATAATGATTTTTATTGAAACTTGAAATTTTTTGATAAAAATTGTTGTCAAAAAACTTTGTTTACAAAATTAAATTTCATAAAATTATGAGGCTTATGTATACTTTTTGTTCATTTTAATTTTTGAAGTAATATGATTCTTAAAACTATAGAATGTAAAGTTTAAATGGGCCTTTCATGTTATATCATTAAATTTAGTAATACTATTTCTCGGGCATTAGGTTTTAACTCTTATAAGAATATACATATTTTTTTCTGTTAATGTACAAATATTTTTCCGATGTGTTTTGGATATTCCTTCTCTAATAAAAAGAGATACCATTTTGTTTTCGGTTGTACAAGAAAGAAGATCAAGCATTTTTCTTTTTTAAATTTAATAAGCCACATTAAAGAAGGAACGTTGCAATGCTACACGCTACATTAACGACGTCTCCAGAGTAACTGAATAACGGTTCATATAGAAATCGCAGGTAAGCGTCTCATACAACAACGCCCCCTATAGTTCGTTGCGATCGCGAATTGGAAAATGAATAAAGTGCAGCCTATTCAGAATTTTTCTTGTTGCTATGGTATCAATATTTAATTACGTTTATGTCTCGTTTTTCTTCTTCCAGCACAAGAGACAAAAAATTACGCCAAATAACAGCACATTTTTGATGCACTGATTATGCTATTTAAAGATAAAAACATAATTTTTTTTAAAGTTTGTTTGACACATTTTCTCTTAGAAATAATTCTTTAGGAAACTAATATTTTCTCAAAAAATTATTCAATTATTCTCAAAATTATTTCTCAAAATATTTTCTCAAATCGTGACTTTCATTAATTATTATTATTCATTTACTTTTTTGCGTCGCTCATTTTTTTCAATGTAATAAAATCGAAACTTAGGAAGACGATGACAATGAAATAAAAGAATAACATTGCTCGAAGCTGTGGGAGAAAGAGGAAAGATAGCGCCATTGTTAATTGGCGAAATTTGATTGCGGTTAGAAGTGTTAAAGGATGTCTCATTTTTTTTGTAGCCTTTGTTGAACAGCTGACCCAATTTCGAGTTTACGACTGACAATATTCAACCCCGTTGCCTTGTAATTTTGAATCCAGTCCAGAAGACAAGGGAACTCCTGGATCAAGATTCGGGAGAAATTTTGCTTTCATGGAGAACTTTTCGATGGAACTAACCCTCATTTGTGTTACATGGTGAGGAAAATAACGAAAACCTTCCACTGTTAGTCTGAGAGCAAGGGGACTCTAACCCATGATCCGTCTACCACTGACAATGTTTTTCGTCTGCCCTATGGTTGGTGCAAGCCCGGTGCGGAATTCGAAATGATGTCTGATTTTTTATATTATAACCGTCGTTGAACAGATGACCCAATTTTGGGTTTATGACTAAAAATGTTCAACTCCGTAGACTTGTCATTTTGAACCAGTCCAGAAGACAAGGAAACTCTTTCATCAGTACCCCCAGAGGTATTAATTTGTCATGGGGACATGGAGGACTTTGCGACTCAACAGATTTAACGAGCATCAGTCACCATTTACGACACCGGGGAGTCTTCGGCAGGCGGGGATCGAACTTATGGGACCAGTGCCCTTCCAACCAGGCTATTCCAGCGCTATGATGTCCGATTTAGAAAAGTGCTTCGCTCTGAAATCTGTGTACTGCTGACACCATAATGCAAGGTGTTTTCATCAATGCACGTCGGTCACACCTTGCGTTAATGTTGTCGACCGCAAGTTAGAGCAGTTCTTGTAATGATGTTTAATTTCATTTTGTTTAATAAAATGATTTTCTTCATTTTATCGGTTTCTTTTCATTCCATCTCTGTCTGTCCATCATTTCGTGATACAGCATGTTTCGTGTTCTAGTAATTCACGACCATGGATTGTATGTGGTGATACGTGCTTATGCAATTCTGTTCTATCATCCTCCAACCCTCACTTTAATTATACATACATAATATTAAGAAAAATAAACTGTCTATTTACACAGACTCCCTGGAAATCCATACTGTTTTTTTATCGCTTTTTTGGTCATTTAAATAAAGTTTATGAAACCTCAACATTTTGAATGTTATAATATGCAAATTTTGAATTTGATTTGTCACTTTTATATGAACTCAATACGAGACAGTTTTATTGCAAAACCACATCATTGTTCTGTACTTATTTTTGGCCAATTCCAAAAATAGCATTAATTAGATATTTTTTTCTAACCAAGTCTTTTGAAACTCCTATATTTTCAACATATTATAATACTCGAATTTCTATTTATAATATAAGTAGCACTATTTATTCATGTTCCTATATTTTTTATTTGAGATTACGTACGACACCTGAATTTAAAATTATAGAATGAGTATATTCTGACGCATTTAATTTACGACATTTACTAATAGATCAACGCTGTTTATTGATAATTTTTTAATCCATTTCCTACGTTTTTTTTAAATGTAAGATTCTGATATATGTATGATATTATTACGACAAGCGATTATGAAAATGAATTATTACTGTTTGATATTGCTCTCGACGCTTTTAATACAAATTCATATCTTCTTCCGAGCATTTCTTATGAATTTATTCATTGCTTTTCGACCACTTCCACATGATTTTTCGAAATTTGTTGTTTTTATACAAATCTGATAATTAGATATGGAGCAACTTACTAGTTTGACAACAATAAGTTTTTAAATTAATCTTTTTTACAAAGTTGCCATTTTTCAGAAAATTGTTAGCTATTTTTTGTAAAAATAGCAAACTACACTCGCCTTACCTCGAACTTAGTAGCAAATAATAACATTTTAGTTGCTATTAGTGGCTTTCTCTTCCCTCCTAAAAATAAAGGCCGCAACCTAAAATTGTAAAGAAAAAAATTAGAAATCAAATATTATAATAAGTATTTCAAAGCACACAAGTTCGAAAATTCAGGAGAAAGAGAAGGAACTCAAAAGAGATGGATTAAGTCTTAATATATTTTGATTAGAGTTTTTTTTAATTTTTGTCTGATATATAATACATTTGGAGGGGGTTAACGATTTGCTTAGGTATATCGTGTAACGATTTGCAAGTGATGTAACATTGACCATGTGAGAATAACTCAATGGTACTAACATGATATGGCAATATTGTTTGAAATGGCTCTATAAGCATAAAAAAGACACAATTATACAAGACAGATATAATGAAACATAACTCGGACTTGACATTTAAATATAACTCGGACTTGACTTGTAAATATAATATAAGCGTTGACAAAATCACTTGATTTGTATGTTTGTAAATATTGACTAAGCTTTGATAAAGGGCTCTATGAACTAGAACGAATGAAATAAACAAGATACTTGAGTATGTAATGAATGAGATGACTGTTGAGAAATGTAGATGTAAATTTGATTAATTCGAAATCTCCCCACTAGAGGGCAGATATTTAGTCCACCATTGAACTACCAAGCAGTAAGCATTGGCTTGCAATAATTGTCTTCTAATGTATAAAATTTATAATCTGAAGGGTTCCACCCTGAAAATATGGAACTTGTTTTCTTGTTAAAATAAATATTTTTTTCTTGTTTTCGATACTGATTGCCCTCATCCCTTCTTGTTTAATGATAGTTAGACAATTTGTACCAGGGGCGTACAAATATTTTGACAAACTTCTTACCAAAAGTTCAATTTTATTACTTATTTATTCTATGTATTATTTAATGTATCTTATGTATTCATTTATTATATTTTATATTTAATACTATATGTAATGCAACAAGTATCATTTTATATGATTTTACTCGAGCAATATGCTCATTACTAATTCTTTACTCTCAATTTTAGGAAACAAGGACCTCAAGGATCCGCATCTCACGATGAAGGAGTAAAGGGCCGTTCCGGACAGAACTAGATAAGACTAAAAAATCGAACTAATTTTCTCCACATAAGTTAGAATCAAAATTAAAGTGAAGTTTATTAGATACCTTGTCGTATTGCACATCAAATTCGTTGAAATGTAATTCTTTCTCCTCTTCGTCTTTTACTTAACTTAGAATATTTATTTGTGTATTTTATTGCAACTGTGATATAATTTTGTTTAATGTATTTGACAACTTCAATGCATAATTAGTTTATGTTCTTTATGTCCTATCTCTGTGCTAAATAAGAAATATATATGGAGAATTAAAATATTTGCGTAAGAATATAGAATGTGTTATTAAGAGAATTGATACTTGACGGGCTTGGCTTACTCGAAATAGAATGGAAAGAGCACAGTTGCTAACAGAAACCAATAAACAAATACCAAGTTTCGTCAACAACCAAATTAGATCAAGATACCCATATTACGTCAGTTGCAGGTATCCCTTTGGCTAAAACTTACTTTAGTCATAACTTTTTGCTTGAATAGCTAATGAAAAGGTTTGGTGACCGATCGTGAACTAATGATTTCCTACAGTAGGCTAATGTTTTCGAAAAAAATTCAAATTTCTGATTTTTTCTTCTTTTTGTGTGGCTAAAAATCAGTTTTTGTCGTTTGTCGTATTATTTATTATTATTTTTTTTTTGCCACGTTGACTAAGAAATTATTTTTCAGAGGGTCAAATTGAGAGTCTCCATGAACTAATATTTCAAAACAAAATATGTAAATTTAGTTTAAAAGTTAACTTTAATCATTGAAAAGATGTTAAAAAAATGCAAGCAGTCTAGCTAAAATTTCAGTGCGCAAGCTTGGGATTCCGGAATGAAGTCCATATTAGCTAACACTACGAGGTGAAATTTTGAATTTCGTTTCAGAGTGGCAGATTTTTTAAGAATTAACTGAAAAAGCAGTTTTGGTCCTAGTTTTTATTTTGTAGGAAGGTTTTTTTTTCTAACCATTTTATACAACAGGCCATCGTTTCGGGATAAAACTAAAATTTGTGGCTTCTTTGTCAAAAATCAGTTTACTTTTGCTTTGGCTATAGTAAACTGTCGGGGAAAAAATCCCAACACCAAGAAGGAGGTTAACGAAATTTGGTGGGCTTGTTTGTACAACTAAAAGATTATGTCCATTCAGATTTTGCGCTTAGAGCATAAGTTTGGTGCTACTAGCGCCACTGTGAACATGCAAATCAGGTTTGCTTTAAATACGTGTTTAACAGTTCGTAAACATTATTTTTCGTAAGCTTTTGACAAGCATAGTGAGTAGCTGTTAGTGAAGAATGCCTTTAAGAAGACCTTATCTTAACCCAGCTCCGTGATCTTAATACAGCTCTCACGATCAGAACTAAAACAGGACGGTGATCCTAATACAGCTCTCCCAGCTTCTGACAAAACAGCAATGAATCTACTAGTGGTATCCGTTCATCGAATTCTATTGCAGATATAATTCTGGGGGCAGACGCACTACAATGAACTTTTATTTTTAATTTTGGAACTGCTTTTTTGTGGTTCTTTTTATTTTGTTTTTCTGCTGAACACATCATAAATATTTTATGCCAAATTTAAGACACATTATGTATAAATTGTAAATAAATGTAAATAGTATTTATTAAATGTCTTTATTCATGAAGCTTTTCATTTCACTTCAATCCTACGTCAAATTTTCAACGACCAGAAATCTGATTGACATTTTTTTATAGTTGTTTCGCAGACGTCTCCTGAGATTCACCTCGTGTTTTATCCATATTATGTCTACCATAGTTATTTATAAAACGTCTGTTTTTAGGCCATTGCGGATTATCCATAATTAAGTTATTAGAAAACGTCTAGTAGACGTTGATATTTGATTTACGATGCCTAATGGATAACGTGGATGAATTCTGGACGTCTGCAGGATTGATTTTACTGTCTGGAAATAAAATAAAATTTGGTAATAAAATTCAAATTTTTTGAACGAAAATTAGCTATTATTTAATTAGGATGTAAAAATTTTGTTGGATAAAATAGGTTAATGATTTGCTTGCTTGGGTTAGCGTATGAAAGCGAATTTCAATCTCGGCTAAAAATTAATTCTCCAAATCAAGTTTTCATAAAATTTGACATTTGGGCAAAAGAAAATAACAAGTGAGCTAAGCTAATTCCTTAGGTAGACTACCGTTTCGGTTTTAAGAATTGTAACTGTATTTAAATGTTTTCAGTTGTCAAATGTATGGCTAATGATTTTTTACAGTGAGCAATTTTTGAACACGAAGTTCACTCTCTTGATTATTAGGTCAGAAGTAGCTAAAACTTGTTTTTGCCACAAAATTGTACAGTTATTAGACAACTGAAATTTTTTGATGGTTTAATGCAGGGGTGGGCACCACAAATCATGCGGGAATGCATTCTAAGTGACTCGCGATTTTGTTAGCAATATTGCGATGGACAGCGCTATACAACGTTAAAAAATAAAAATTATTTTAAAATTTTATACATATTTATTCCTTGTTATTTCAATTTATGAATGTGTGGTACCTACCTATTTTTACTCTGTAATAAATATTGTTTAAAAACAAGTACCGTTCATTGCCTGCTGCTGAACATCTTAAAAACCATCAACCAATTTCAACTTTAGATTTACAACTAGCCATCGAGGAATTGGCAAAACTTTAAACTAAGTGTCATCGGTTTTAATTTTTCAATGTTACAATTTGTGTATGTAAAATTATTGTGAGAATTTAAAGAAAAATTTGCTTTGAAATGTGTTTGTGAAACATATTTTCTTGTTTGTAAATTATTTATATACTTATTTTATTACACTATTTCCACTATAGTTCAAATAACAATTTAGTAATAATAAATTTGTCTTTTCCAAATAAATAAAAAATATTTTTTCGAATTCCTACTGCATATTATAATTTTTTAAACTTTGGTAATGAACTGGATTAATTTTTTTTATTGCGAAATTCATTTGATTTTGGTGGTTAAAATGCAAAGGCGAATTCTAAAATTTTTACATCTAATGCCTAGATTAGCGTAATCCGTTTCCGATGCAAAAATTTTAACTTGTGGTTTAAAAACCAGTAAATATTTCACACTGTCAATTTTTTTTGTTGACAGGTTGGCCAAAAAAAAAAATTTAGAGGTTAACGTTTTATTTTAATAAACTTCTGTTTCACGGTAAATGGGGCTATCAGAGGAATGAGCTATCAAGCAATGAGTTATCAATTTTAATGGATTATCATTTTGAGTGGGCTAATATTCGGTCAAACTTTTGTTCCAAAGATATCTTTGTATTAAATTTCCGAACGAAAATTTTTGAAGGACTAAAGTTTTTTTTCTTTTGTTCAATGCCGGCCTGGGGAATGACCTACGTCACACAGGCAGCTGAAGGGAATATTTGTTGGCAACTCTTTCAGGGGCACCATATTAGGTGACAACGTTGCTCCCACAGTTGAGGAAAGATAGTACAGAGAGGGAAAGAACATCCGTGCCTTGCCCAGAATTCGAACCCAGAACCTTTCTGATGCATGTTGGACTAAAGTAGAGAAACGAAATTTCTACAAGCAGCTAACATTTTGAGTCAAATTTCAAGATTGTTTTTCCTAAAATTCGAACATTTACTTCATCTTACTATTTATGCTGTTATGTAACAAATATTGAATGAACTGTTTACACCTTTAATCTCCGTATATTAGGTGGATCAGGTTTTAACTTAAAAACTAAACTCAGTGGCGCGACAGCCCATAAAGGGCCAAAGCCTATTGTGCCCGCCTCAGACCTTGACCTTGGCCTTGACCTTTCTTGACCTTGGCCTCTGGGGTGCAGGAGCAGATGTTCCGGTCAGGTGGTCAGCCGAACGCAGAACCTCCAGTGTTTAGTTCCGAAGCATGCTTGGTACTCATTTATCGACCCACTGAAGGGATGAAAGGCTGAGTCAACCTTGCCCCGCCCGAGGATCGAACCAGGG